TGTGTCTGTTCCGTCTTTCCCTCCTTTAGTGACTTTGAAAAGGGTTCTCAGGCATTGGCCTCCAGGTGCCGCAGATGGAAAGGCAAGTAGGTAAACCAGGGTGTGGGGCCAGGAATAATTGCTTTTTCATTAGGATTTTAATATTGCAAGAGTATAGCTGATTATGAGACTTTTTTGGAGCAGCTTTCGATTTATAACAAAATTGAGAGGAAGGTACAGAGATATCCCATGAACTCCCTGCCCTCACACATGCATAGCCTTCTCCTATTATCAACATCACTCACCAGAATGGTACATTTATTACAAATGATGAGCCTACATTGACACATCATTATCACCCATAGCCACATAATTTACAAATTTGCAATAGAGTTCACTCTTGATATTGTACAGTCTATGGGTTTGAACAAATATATAATGACATATATCCATCATTATAATTAGAACATGCAGAACATTTTACTGCCCTAAAAATTATTGTGCTCTGCCTATTCATCGCTCCCTGCCTCTCATTCCTAGTAACCACTGACTGTGTGTGTGTGTGTGTGTGTGTGTGTGTCCATAGTTTTGCCTTTTCCAGAATGTCATATAGTCAGAACCAAACAATATGCAGACTTTTAAGATTAGCTTTTTTATTTTTTATTTTATTTTATTGGTTTTTTATAGAGAGCAAGAGAGAGGGATAGTTAGAGACATCGATGAGAGAATCATCGATCAGCTGCCTCTTGCACACATCCTACTGAGGATGTGCCCACAACCAAGGTACATGCCCTTGACCAGAATCAAACCTGGGACCTTTCAGTCCGCAGGTCGACGCTTTATCCACTGAGCCAAACCAGTTTTGGCAAGATTAGCTATTTTCACTTAGTAAAATCTATTTGAGGTTCCTCTGAGGCTTTTCATGGTTTGACAGTGTATTTCTTTTTAGTACTGAATAATATTCTGTTGTCTGGATCTACCACAGTTTATTTATTTATGAACCTACTGACCTGGTTGCTCAGGTCATGAACTTCGATGAGGAAAAAAAATCTAAGGATGAACAATCTTCTCATTAATGTTTCTAATACAACAACGTTATTAGGATTCCACATAAATATGTCTCAACAGTTTCAGAGCTGAAGAAGAGATAAATGGGGCACAGTTTTTACAAATTATTTGTGTCATTGGATAGGATGAGAAATGGGGATATGCCTGTTTCTTATTTAAACAACAGTTCACAGATAACAAAACATTCCAGATACAGGACAGGCTTATCTGTAGGTACCATGCTGAGAGCTTAGTCATTGCAGACACAAAAGGAAGTGGGGAATGGAAGAAGATGATTTATTTAACACTGAAAGAGATGCCCCTCAATCATTATTATAAGTTAACTATTGTTCTTTTTCCATCTGTGGGAGTAAAAAAAATAACTTTCTTCCCACCTCAAGTTCTTCTGGTTGGGCTAATAATCATGTTAACATAATACAAATTAACAAGAGAAAATATCCAAAATTTATTTGTAATATGCTTGTAGGTATTCCATAAAATGTGAGACCGGAAGACACATTGGGCAATTGAGGTTTATATGCCATTCAGGATAAAGAAGAGGGAGACAAGGGGTTTCAAAGGCAAAGCAGGCAATTCACAGGTAGATGAGAAAAAGCAAACACGTGGGCAACAAGAGGGGAACCCAGCAAGTAGCTTTGCTAGATTTCGCCCCATTTGCCACATTTAGTTTACATTTTGGTGATGTTCCCTTTCTTTTAAGTAGGTTTTTCTTTTCTTTTTTTCTTTTTTTACCTGAATTACTGTAGGCAAGTAAGGGAAGTTGGGCCAAATCTTCTTTCTGAGTCATTTGTTCCTTAATAGTCAATTTGAAATCAATATCCCAAAGGGCAAACTTGGGGGTAGTAAAACTTTGGTCCATATCACATGATATATACCAAATTTGGAGGTCATCTTCATCTTTAAAAAGCTTTTATCTTAGGTAGATGAACATTGCTGTTTTTGTTAGCGTATTTACTTAATGGTTGAGAATATCTGAAAACTACTAATGTGTGTGTGTATAGAGGAGATTTAATCTTTTACAGAGATGTTTTTAGGTAATGTTAGTGTCCAAGTAAATTTTTCTGACTTTGACTATTTTGTGGCAGTAGCAGTAAAGAATGATATATTTTGGCCAGGTATAAAACAAATGTAAATTCTATCAACTGACTTTTAAAAATAATCAATGGAGGTTGACCTGAAAGGTTTATTTTTATCAAGTTCTAATAGACTTTAAGATCTGAAAGCTGCCAAAACCAGTTTGGCTCAGTGGATAGAGAGAGTCGGGCTGTGGACTGAAAGTTCCCAGGTTCGATTCTGGTCAAGGGAATGTACCTTGGTTGCAGGCACATCCCAGTATGGGGTGTGCAAGAGGCAGCTGATCAATGATTCTCTCTCATCGATGTTTCTAACTCTCTATCCATCTCTCTTCCTCTCTGTTAAAAAAAAAAAAAAAAAAAAAAAATCAATGAAATAAAATAAAATAAAAGATCTGAAAGCAAAAAATTTGGAACATCAATGAAATAGAAAGATTTCAGAGTTTGTCCAGTGCCTGGCTACTCACTTTGAATACTTTTAACCTCTGAAAACATCTGGCCATCATTAGCATTAGGAGAAATGTAAGAAATCAGAATATTTTTTACTGGAACAAATTTATAGGGTTTTACATCCATTTTGGATTATAGAAGAAAACCTGTTTTACCTTACCAAATGACTCATAGAGCTTTGCGAATGCCTGTTTTTTATTTGTTTGTGAAACTAGCCCTTTTTCCTCAAAGCTGGAAGTCATTCTCAGATAGCATGCAGGCATTCAAAATGTTTTTAAATCCCAGAAGCCACTAGCTTTGGGTTTATTTACTGATATGTGTCTTTCTAAATGTCAAAAAACAAACAAAAATACACTGGTCCTAAGGGCAATAAACTAGGCCTCTGTTAGGCCTAGCTGATAATAATAATAATAAAAAAAAGAGGAATAAAGGACTTTCAGCAGGAATAACCTGCAAATAATGTCTATCTAGAATGTATGATCACTGAGTTATTTTAAACAGAAAAGGTGAAACACAGGATAACTATTTTGTGTTCATGCAAAGCAGCCAGAACTTTCTCAGGAACATGCTAATTACATACTTAAGTAGGTAGCATATGTGTCCAGAAAACTAATATGTGAGGGTTTTTCTTAGCGCCACCCCCATCTCCAGTCTCACAACTCTGTGTCAGCAGTATGCTAAGTATTGGTGAGATAATATAAACAGTCCAGAAATTGATGAGTATGATTTGCTGGACATGTAATTGTTGACATAATAGCAGGTATTAGGTCCTAAGAGTAGGTTTAAGACCTATGTTCCACAGAAAGAGAATGAAGTGACATAAACCAAGTTGGAGTTTCAAATCTCTACAGAATTCAGTGTTTTGTAATTAATGTGTTCTTTCCCATTTTACATGCTAAAAGACCAAATCACACAATGTTTGTGAAGCAACTAAGTGGCACCAAACAAAAGTCTAAAGTTGAAAACAATTTAACAAAATCAAATAGTATTATTGGCAAAGGACCTGTTCTTATTTGTTATAAATGCTGTATTAATAGACATTAAAAATAACTAAATATTAAAAGAAGCAAAACAATGTGTATGGTATCCAGATATCTGGATATTGATTGTGTTTTGACATTCCAAATTTGGTTCGTTCAAGGAATTTAACTTTGTCAGATACTTTAAGTATGTCCGATAATCCTTACTTTCTTTGAATCATGTAAAATGTTCACAGCTTTCTGTCAGTTGCCAACAAAGTTAAAATTAAACTCCTGCTCTTGGCTTCATGAGACAAATATTTCCATAAGGATTTTTCTTGACCTTATTATTTCCAGTGCGATTTATATTACCATCTTTGTAATCCCATTCCACCAGGGATCCAGAACAAAACATCATATTTTGTGGTATCTCTCCTTAATAAATGTCTTTGGGCCATATACTCATCCATGTACATGCAATGTAGAGGTAGAAAGTAGGCTTGCCAAATCCTAGAATCTCCAAATTATGGCATTTTCACTAATACCATTGCGGAATGTGAATTTATCTACTTTTATTGAGCACCTACTAAATTTCAGATAATTTGTATACAGGGTGGGATAAAAGTAGATTTACACTTGTAAGTATGCAAAACACAGAGTTTATTCTTGAATTATTATTTCCATACAAACAACTCTAAATCTGCTTTTGCCCTACCCTGTATAAAATTTGTAATTGTCACAACCCAGAAAAGTAGACAACACTATCATTATTTTGTAGAAAAAAAATTGAAATTAATTACATTTAATGAACTTTTCTAGAGTTATACAGATCAGATTTTTAAATGGGGTTGACTCCAAAGACCATATTCTTCCAGTTACACCATAGCATGCCAACTTACTACCTTGAGAGACTGCACCAATTTGAAATATAAAACGAATCAATCTTATTCAGGGTCCATTTTTAACAAGCCTAAACCCTCTTTTCAAGTGAGACTCCTCACTCCTCTTGGTAGTTGAATTACCAAGCATCTAGGGAAAGATAGAAATTTACCTAAAGGGAGAAAAAGAGAATATTAGATCTATTTACTTGGTGGTGCCTCGTAGAAGAAAAGAAAGGAAGATACTTGTTTTCCTGCTGATTTTTCTGTTTAACAGAGAATAGGGGTGTGTGAGGAGTGGGGAGGAGGTAAAGGGCAAATAGAGAATGTTGATATGGTGGTAATGAGCAATGAAGAGTTGGTTTGGGAGGAGGAAATAGTTTTCCATCTCCCTGGTCATTCCACCTTTCCCTGAATGAGAATATTCTGTTTGGATTTCAGACTAGGGTTGCCATGCGAGAAGTGTATGTTAATTTTGTATTTTCTCATAACTTTCTTTTGGGGATAAGCATTTTGGTTTTCGGCTGTTTATTATTTCAGAGGCATCTATATGCTAATATATTTATGCTAATTATTTTCATGTTTCCCCTCAGGTTATGCTTCATATCACCCATCAGGGAGGATCATCTCTCATGAAAACTTTTAAATTTGATTTTGAAAATTATTCGGAAAAATTTAAGCGGTGCTTTCTTCTAATATAGGAAAGAATATGCTCTGGAGATTCTTATAATTCAAAGAAAATGGATTGGTAAAGCATTCGGGTTCTCATGCTGCCAAAAATCCTCTTAAGCAGGTACACAAAGCATTTACTAGTATCATTGTGACATCGAAACGTTGGAAGAATAATTAAAATAATAATATAATAATAGGTTTTCAGGAATTGCTAAATTTCAATGTTTGATCCAGAGAGAAGAAAGGAAAGGCTATTTTCATTATCCACAGCTTCTGAGGTGTGTTAATTGCTTCTATTGCTATGAATACTATATTTTAATTGTATGTCATTGTTTCTTACTGTCATTTCTAGAAAGTTAATTCTAATAATATTAATATCTAAATCTGATTTTTTGCTTACGGGATAAATGAGGTAAAAATAACTTTATAATAAGCTAGTTTGATGCTTTCTTCCAGCTTTATTATTACAGGACATTTTTTATGAGATTGTAATTTTTTTTGAGAGTAGGTTGCAATAAAAAAATTAAAAAAACATATAGAAGTCAGCCAATTACCCTGTCTTAAAACTATTTTTTCCAGACATCTTCTTTGGAAGATAACAAGACTAAAAAAGCTGATTTTGCAACATGAGATATTAAAACTTAGATCACTTGAGGGGAGTTAGATTTCTCCCTTTTGTTCCCAACCATCACAGGGTTGAAAAGAAAAGGCCCCATTTCATGCTCACCCCTATTATTCTTTGTCCTGCTTGGTGCTTTAGAAAAATCAAGGAATCAGAAGCACTGGTGTGTGTGTGTGTGTGTGTGTGTGTGTGTGTGTGTGTGTGTGTGTGTGTGTCATACTCCAGCCTTAAGTTCATCATGGGTTCTGGCCTCCTCCTTACCTCTTCCTCTCTCTACCTTTTACTAGCTGCACCTAATCTCATTTCTATTTTTAAAATACCTTCACTTTTCAAACTCAACAGTGCTTCACTCCCCAAAAAGTGCAGCCAGATGATGCTATTTCCCCCTCTCAGCTCATTGTAATGCCCTTTGAGTGCCAAGACAACTTTGACAGTAGGAGAATTAACAGTCAGGGCTGGAAGAAAAGTCTTCTGAAAGGGTGCCTGACAAGGAAACTAGGCTCTTCTAGCTTAGACAGGTTCCTGGACAACATATGCTAGAACTAGCAACCAGCATCTCAGCATTTACAGTCATCATCTCTTCCCAAACAGGAAGCAACATTGCTGTGGGCCCATTTGATAAGTTAGCTAGAATACACCATTGTCAATTAAAGGTAAAATAACATTTTGTTGAAACCTGGCTAGATTTGGTACATTCTCTTCCAATAGTTGATGTATTGAACTTTTGTGACTCAACATTATTTTCCTTTCCATTCTACTTATTTGCCTGTGGCAATGACAAAATAGCTACACATTTTCCATTTTAACATTTTGTTTGGAAAAGGATTCATTGAACATTACACAGTTGATCTTAAGGTAGTCCCAGCTAAGAAGAAACTTGCTCTTCTCTCAACATAATTTAAACATAATTCAAAAAAGCAATTTGTGTACAATTATACCCAAATTTATTAAGTGTAAGGTGAACCATGTAATCTGATTAATGAGGCTGCTCTGACTGTATTATTTTCTTCATGAACTAAATTCCATGAACACAGGAAATACATCCATAAACCACTGTTAGCTCAGAGCTCTAGAAGATGGCTATGTTTTGTGGCTATTCACAAACTTTTGGCATGCCTGACTTAATCTATATGAGTAAGGAAATTTGATTCAACACAAGTCCAGAAATGCTGCATGATCTGAGAGGCGTAACACTCCTGAGTCTGCCAATGATCATGAACTTTGTTAAAGGCACATGGCTTTGAAATAATAGGAACTAGATTCAGAGGAATTTGGATTTTGTCTCACATAATTAGTTTCTTGACCTACATGAGTTTCATCGCATCCTTGAACCTCAATCTCCTTGTGAAAAATATGAAATTAAAAAAATCACATTTATTTTATTTAAATTGGCTGTGAGGATTAAATGAGATTATATAATTGTATGGTGCACAAACAAAGTAAATGCTGGACTAATGGTCAACACTTCTATTATCATTCTTATTTTTACTCATAATACTTTTAGGATTGTTATTATTGATATTATGGTTGTATGAAAGGTTCAAAATATTTTTCTTTGGATAGCTTAGGTCATGGAAATCAAAAGTTGACACATTAGATTCTTTCTCTGCTAGAAACATAGGGCCTATGAAATGAAAATGTGGAAAAGCTTTGATTTTAAGTGTTATTCATTGAAACCTCTATACCATCACATTCATTAAACACCTTTTCTTTTGTTATTGTTGAATCTAATATGCTACACAAGAAAGATAAAAAAATTTAAATCCCACCAAATATTTTTCTTGTTTCTAACCAATGCCAAATATTCAAGATAGAAAAAGTCATTTACAAGTCAGATATTTTTACCTTCGCTTTCAAGACTTCAAATGTCTAGCTAATGAGCTGGTTTCCCCACTTGTCTTTTGGGTACCTGATATTAGCAAAGCTATTTTATAATTTGCTACTTGTGTTGCTGACAGTGGTGGCCTTGTTGATCACAGGGTATAATTTGAAATTCCAGAATTTTATGAAATGGGGGATTGCTTAGCAATTAGGCTTTCTATAGGAAAAGCCATCTTGTTTGAAAAGCCATAGGAGACTGCTAGGCCATCTTTATGGAGCCAGAGCATCATATGAGAGTATACGATTGGGTCTCAAGGCCATTAACAAGTTTCAATCTTGCTGCTAAACAAGGGAAGAATAAATAGGCTTGTGTTTGCCTCCAAAACTCATGGCTCCTCACAGACAGAAAAGTCAGGTGTTACTTAAACTTTTGCAGGGTTAGAATGGATCCTGCCATTCCGTATTGAAGAGTCAGCTTTGACTTTTAATTGCATGCCAAAACAAAGACCCACAGATGCTTTTGTTAACACAAAGGTTTTTATTACAAACAAGCCCTAGTAAAAAGAGAATTTTTAAAATTTGTATTTAGAATGGTTCTAATCACAATAGAGGCTTCATTATTTTAATTGTATAGTTATGTTTTAATTAATTTTTACCCTTTCTTAGGGATTTTCCTCTATTATGAAGCCATCCCTCAAAGGAAATGCCAGCAATAAATTAATATCCACACCCTGGTATTTCATTTTAAATATACACACTTAGGTGAAAGGGTAGCATCCTTTACCTTTCACAATGCCTAGCACATAGTAGAGGCTAGATAGATAGTAATTGAGAGAAAATGGCATTGTTAGAATTAGAGCAATACTTCCCTGTATTTCATTTCTATCCTGCCATTCTTCAGTGAACTTGGTGTAATTTCTCCTCCAATGGGCAAGATCTGGTACTTTTCACAGTCACAAGTGAAAGAGAGAACAAAATAAGAGAGATTTTCATTTATAAGATTGCCTTTCTCTTATCTACTGTTCTTGCCTCCCAGACTGTCTGTCTGTCTCTGGAAAGCAAAGTCAATAAAAAAAAAAAAAGATGATTCGAGTTGGCGTATTACAAATGTACACCCTTAAACCATGAAGCAGTAATGCTGTGCAGGAAATATTTTCCTGACCTTTTCAAATTGCATCCAACTGTCTCGGGAATTTCTCAGTGACTAGAGGTAATAAGGTTCAATACGTTTTACTGGCTGGCTTCAAATTTAGTTCCTCCAAATCTCAAACTTATCTATTCTTGCATCTTGGCCCTGGCATCCATTCAGCACAGAAATCCATGCAACTAATCTTCTTTTTCTCCTTCTCAGGTTTTGCTAAAGAATCACACTGCAATCTACAACTGCTAACTGTCCCTTCCGAAACAAAATATTAGCATGGGAAGGCTAGTGGGTGTGATTTCTTTTGGAGCCCTTACTGAATGTAATTAGCTTTTAGATTTCATCTCCATCTGAAGTCTCAGTTTTTACCTATATGATTTATACCTCACTAATCTTCATTAGATGAAACTTTATCAACTTAACTATACCATGGGCACTCTGGAGAATGTTAAAGTGGCAAAAATATGTGAATTTCCTTCATGTTAAATTGATTTTAGCTTTTCTTCTGTGAGTCCAAATGCGATGGACACACTCCCTGGGTAAGGATGGGAGTCAGCCAGGTGTGGCGTGCTAACAGGCAGCTGGGCGGCCCCATTCTTCACCATGCTCTCTGAAGGGGAACAGAAAACAGAAGCTGGGGACACATTTCTTGACCTCACGAAAGTGCTGGATGTCTGAAAGCTTTGGCAAGGAGTTAAAAAGCTCGTCTTACTTTTCATATTTAGAGTGTCTCTGTGCTAATGTGATCCTGGGGAGATGCCTGTGTTTCCTCATTTGTAGGACACACCACATTCCACACACACTCTGTTCTGTGGCTTCCATTCATAGCCTTTGTTCTGCCTTCTGCAGCAGTGATTAGATTCTTGGCCAGAAGTTCCTGTGGTCAGTGGAGCTTGGGGCCTCTTTCCAGAGCCTCTCTGTTCATGGGCGAACAGCTACTAGGAGGAGGAAATCTGTTTGAAGTTGCCCTTCTAAGAGTTTGTATGTGCTCAGACAATAATTGTCAAGTTCGATTGGCATAGATATTTGGCTTTATAAAAGTGAGATCATGTCAAACAACATGATTCGGACAACAAGTTTAGAAGGAAGAGGATGAAAAGCAGATATTCTAAAATTTACAGGAGTGTATTTTTTTCTTCAAAAAAACAAACAAACAAACAAACAAAAAACCAGTACATTTGGCCCTTCCTATCCATGGTCTCACACCCATGAATTCAATCAAGCACAGATTGAAAATATTTGGGGGGAAGTAGTTAAACTGTTGCTGACCTGTACTATGTAGTTAGGCTTCTGATGGTTGCATCTGTATTGAAGACATACAGTCTTTTGTTTCTTGTCATTATTCTCTAAACAAAACACTATAACAACTATTTAGTATGTAATGTCTATATTTTATCAGGTGGTATACATGATCTATAGGTGGTTTAAAGTGTACAGGAGGATGTGCACAAGTTATAGGCAAATACTACATCATTTTATGTAAGGGACTTGAACATCGTGAATTTTGGTATTCATGTGTATGTGTTGGGGGTGGGGGGGTTCCAGAACCAATGCTCCATGGATACTGAGGAATGACTATATCCTTATTCCAAAGTTTAGCTTATGATATAGCTTATCTCTTCCAATTTAAAAAGCAAATACATTGGTACTGATGAAAGTGAGAAGGATACACAGAAAGTATGTTTAGAATAAAGGTTTTGTGAAGTTGCTATTTTGTCATTTAAATTTCAATTCATCTTGATTCACAACCCAAATTGTTCATGTCTCCTTACAACTGGAGAATAGTTAGCTGTTTTGGGGTTTTTGTTGTTGCTGTTTTTTGTTTTTTTCTTTGTTTGTTTGTTTGTTTTTTGTTTTTGTTTTAGTAGAGATGAGGCATTTTGGCAGTTTTGCATCATCAGATCTATTCAATATTTGCAATGTGGGATAGTGTTTTTATGAGCGGCTGGGGAAGGGTCATAAAAGACTTTCATGTGAGGTAGCTAGAGCAGGCCTTTTCCTCAAATGGAGCTACAGGACACCTGCTAGGTCATTAATGCACATGTATGTATGTCTGCATGAATGTTCCTTATTAGATATAGCTGCTCTTTACTGGTTTATCACAGATAGCTCACAGTAACCTGACTTAATCTTTATTGGAACCTGATAAATAGGCTCATCTCTCCTCAATTTATAGGGGCAGAGAGGTTTACTACGGTTAAAATTGAGTTTGCTTATAAGTGGCAGGGGTATGGTGGGAAGAGAACTATTTTCTCATGAAAAGGAAGAAAATAACTTATTTGTTGCACTCAGTGTGTTTTTAACAATTCCTCCTCCTTTTTCTCTTCCTCCATCAACTATTCTTTTCTTTTTATGTTGCTTCTCCTCCTTCTACTTTTTCTTTTCTGAAGGAGAAAATGAATCGAGGCCAAGTCTTTAAAGAACTGTGCCACTTTAAAGAAGTGTCTCTTCCTTGGGACAGCCACTCTTCTCTCCGTCATCGCAGAGTTGCTTTCTGTAGAGTGACTTATTTTAATACTTTGAAAGCTTAATACAGACTAACAGTTTGGGCTGGTGGCTTATAGTACCATTAGCATAGAGGCATTTCATTGCCTTGAAATAATAATACAAGTGGCAGGAGATTATACAATATATTCTTTTGTCAGCTCATGATTTACCAGGGTAAAAGGTGGATTGAGGAAAACAGATATTAAAAGGTATTTTTGTAGGTAGCACAGGAAACCCATTTCCTTTTCCTTTTTCATTGAATATATTGGAGTGACATTGGTTAATAACATTACATAGGATTATGGTGTATAATTCTATAAAACATCACCTGTATATTGTATTGTATATGCACCACTCCAAGTCAAATCTCTGTCTATCACCATTTATTCCCCTTTACCCTCTCCTGCCTCGCCACCCTCACCCCCCCTTTACCTCTGATAATCGCCATACTATTGTCTGTGTCTATGTATTTTGTGGGTTTTTTTTTTTTTTTTGGTTCAATCCCTTCACCTTTTCCACACATTCTGAAATCCCGTTCCCCTCTGACAGCTGTCAGTCTATTCTCTACAAATCAAAATATCTAGGAAATTCAATGCCTTCAAATATAAAACTAAAATACTCTTCTATTTGCCTTACATATCAATATTATAAAAATAAACATTCTTGATTTCCCAAAGAGGCTTGTTGCTGAGGCCTTAGCTCAGTGGAGATATGGATGCATAAGGATTCCACTTTTCCTCTCTGGTGTTGCCTGGTTCACTGCAATCTGCTCCTTGGCATTACTTATTGCAGTAATGGGGCTTCTTGTGTTGCCACAACATCACTTGGTATCTGATGCAAGGCCAGCAGCCTGATGGGGCCCCATTTGTTCCCAGGCATATCAGAAGACAGAAAATTGATTCAAATCTAAGTGGAGTGGTAGAATCTCAAAAGCTCTGTCACCACTGTTCACTGCAAACATCTCTCTTCCTAGAGCCAGTGTTCTGAAAACCTGGAAGCATCTAACTTATAATAAATATCCCCCTTAAACATTTCAAACAGATCCACAGGAAAAGCTTCAGATGGAAATCGAATGTCAAGTATATCCTCTCTCTTTCTCTCTCCCTCTATTTCTCTCTCTCTCTCTCTCCCCTCCCCCCATCTCTCTCTGTCTCTCTCTCTGTGTCTCTCTCATCCTCCCTCCTCCCCTATCTTAAATATGCATGTGATCTCAGTACAGAGTTCTTTATGTTTGCACAAGGCCCCTTTGATTCCCACTATACCCCTATTGGAAATAAACTTAAAACAATATAAACAAATACAAATAAATTGCTCTGAAACTGTCTGCCACACACAGTTCACCTTCAACACTTTGCTTTCCATTAGGGCTTCGGGAATGGACATGCAGCCTTGGCTTTCCATCTGCAGGTTTAGCAGTGGTGGCACCTGCCTGTACCTCTGTGACATACTGGCAAACTCCACTTATCCTCAGAGCTGCAGCAGGATTTACATTTTCTTAATTGGGACCCCACAGGTCCCCTGAGGGATTTCCTCCCCTTAACAAGGCGCTATATCCACATGGACATAGAGTATAGTCACTGTGGCCTCTTGTTATGGTCAGAAATATCAACATTGGTATATAAAAATATAATATAAAATTAAAACAATACCTCAGCTAATGGAGTTTCTAGGCTGGGCTTTTGATAGTATTAAGATCTCACCATTTTTCTCAATATTTATCTTTGGAGTTAAAGTGATGTCAGCAGAAATTCAAATTGAATACCCTTCCTTCTTCACGGTATTTCCTCTTCGGTTGTAATTCTGCGTCCCATTGCTTCTGGAAGTAAGGGTGACTGGTAGGAATACCAACTACCACATCTTATGAACAACTAAACAAACATAGAGGTTTGGGCACTCTACATAGAAATGTTATGGTTTTACCATATCCCTTCTTTTCAGCTGAATAAGTATAAGATCAACTCTGTCAAAGTGCCTGGGGAAGCCTTAATTTTATTAAAACTAAATAAGCTAATACAAAATTAACAAGTAAATGCCCTTTATCTTCACTCTTCATGTCATTACCTCGAACATCCAAGGGCCACTGCCTTATCTGTATTTATGGTTACAGCGTGTGTATGTGCTTCTCCCTTATGCTATTTTTATTTTTTTTGTTACTGGAATTCATGAAGACTTAATCATCAGCCTTCTAATTTTCCCAAAAAGAAAGAAAAATGTTGATTTATTGAGCTGGCTGCAGGAAAAGAAGAAGAAGATGATCAATCTGACATTATAGGTTAATAGTAGGGAACAAAGCACATTCATAATTAGAAAAGAAAAGGACTTTCCTTGTTCATTCCAGTTTATAATAAAAAGCCTTTCGCCAAAGTGTCTTAGAAAATAATGCATTCAGACTGAGTCGAATTACCGCCTAGCAGATTCTATTTATCTGTAGCTTAAAAAGCAGCTGCGTTTTTGTAAAAGGCAATGAATGTGGCAGTCCTACTTAAAGGTAGAAGAAAAAGAACACCCCTTGTTTTGTAATAAGGGGATTTTCAATTTAAAAGAGAGAGCGAGCCTGTTGTGTGAAGTACGGTTATTACATTCACTGTATTCTATCTCACCCACCAGGAGGCTAATAATGAAGGGGCCAGGGAAGGAGGCCAGTGCTACGAGGGTTATCTCACAGCCTCAGATGCTGGATAAGTCGAACGAGGCAGAATCGCGTTTGGATGACATTCAGAAAGGCTGGGGTGATTATTTGGAAGAGAAAAGCCTGCCTATTCTTTTCCAAGGTAAACAGTTCATTTCATCTGTCAGCTGCATGTTGCAGTATAAAAAATATGTTTATAGAAAGATATCTATTAAAGGTTGCATTTTTAAAAAAAATCATTGTAGGTGTGTGACTATCCCCGTGGCCTGCCGGTCCAGCGATGAATTGCTAGACAAAGGATGCCCCTGGAACCTCACCACACCTTCTAAAGCCAAGCTTTGAAGAATCTGCCAAGCTCACATTTAATCATGAGAAAGAAATTATCCACATGGAGTCAGCAGAAAATGAGAAAGTAGAGCTCTGTGCTCCGAGTAATTCCAGCAAGTGCCAAGGGGCTAGTTGAGGAATGGCTTCATGAGGTGAATATCTTTAGCTTGTACTTAGGGTTTTGGCTAGCGTATAATCATTTTCTCTTTTAGAAACAATGACTTGCTTAAGTGTCTTCGCTAACGAAAATGTGCTCGGAGCATTTGTCAGGATGTTGACAGGTTTTGTGTCAGTCTCGTCCTTGTTGTTACGTGCTATTTTATGTATTAATTTTACATTTGCAAATACGCAAAAATCAATCAAGGTGAAGAGGCTCCCCCAGTCGATGCCTGAGTATAGCTGTCTGTATCTGTGTGTCTCGCTGTGAGTGCACCTCTCTGTGTACGTGATGTGCCCTTGTTCTTGTCTGCTCTCTGTTGTGCACGTTGATTGGGAGGACTGGCCAGCCCGTGGGTTCTCAGATGTGGTCCCAGGCTTTCATTTGATTTTTGGACCAGGAAGAAAAGAATGTGTCACATCATGATTAATAGTTAATCTGAATTTTCAATTCGTATGAAAGGAGAAGGGGGAGGAGGAGCTCAGCCCAGTGATGAGACTAACCTTGTCCCTTTGGGAAGAGCATGATTCAAATTAAACATCGCTTTCAGTGTGAAATTAGTTTGAAGGCTTCTTTTTTTGGGGGGGGGGGGGGGGGGGTGTGTGTGTGTGTGTGTGTGTGTGTGTGTGTGCCTGGTTTAACTCCTTGATGGCTGCTCTTGCAGAGACAATCACTTCCATTCTGCCTCTGTGCCCCAGTCTGTTCCCAATAGCCCAGAGTTCTCCCTTCATTTATTGTTCCAAAGTTCAGATCCAATAAATCAATAAAAAAATATTAAATGTTTACTATTTTTAAAGTTTCATTATTCACAAGATTCTTCCAAATGATGTTATTTCTTAGTGTTCCAAACTAATGTTGCCAGTAAATGAGACAGAGACAGAGAGACAGAGAGAAGGATGGATGGAAGGAAGGAAGGAAGGAAGGAAGGAAGGAAGGAAGGAAGGAAGGAAGGAAGGAAAGAACAAAGGAAGGAAGGAAGAAAATTTTTATTTTAAAGATAATTTTGAATTTTGCAAGGGAGGAGAGGAAAGCAAGGTAATCTTTCAAAGGATCTTCTGGGTACCTTCTGCTCTATGCTAGTTCTTGTTGGCAGAGTGAGCCACAGAGAAATAACAGCAACCAAAACACAGTTCTCTCAATTCTCTAGTTTCCCACATAACTAAGGCACAGAATTGCCATGCCAACCTGCAACAACTTTGGCTCCAAGTGAGCATGGGCCAGGACACTTTAAAACTGCCCTTCCTTACTTACAGGACTCAGGCTTATAGAAAAAAAACCTGTCTCTGGAAGTGCTAGCCTGTGTGCCCATGTGTGCATGTCCTTGATGCCACAGTTAGGCATCCTCAGGATTTGATGTACAACTGATTTTCCCCCTTTGGGGGAAAGGGAAAATATTGAAAAAGCTAAGAGACAGGGTTATTCTCCCAGTGTATTTTCAAAATAAAAACATTAGGGCTTTTGTAATTCCTTTCCTAAAGGATGGAGAGGTGTGGTGGGGAGGTGAGCCATCTGGGGTGGGCTGTAGTGGGGGAGGGAAGGCAGCTGGGTAGAGGTAGAGGTGGAGAGGGGAGGGAGAATATAGAGGCAGATGAGCAGCTGTGTTTATTTTAATACATATCATTTAACCCTCACCTAAAACCAAATTGGAGAGGTTTGGGAGTGCATTAATCTGGACCCAATTAACATGTCTTTCTCCTTCAAAAGTGCAACCTGAGATTAATGAATATAAACTAGAGTTTCAGAGGCAGTGCTTAAATCATTTGCATGTTTCATGCATGATAATTGAATTTATGTATGCACTTCCTTTCATTTAACTATTTCCAGTCCCCTCCCTGTGATTCACATAAATCAAGTTTTCATTATAGTAACCTCTAGGTGGAAATTGCTGGCCTAGACCTTACTCCTAATGAGAAACTCAAGTTTTTGTTTCTTTTATTTGAATCTGCATAATACAATGGGGATTTTTAGAAAGCAGAGGGCAACACTCCACAGTATGGGACACTGTTTCAGGAGCTGGTAAGTAGGCACTCCCAGTTTATTTTTGAAAGGCGGTAAATCCATGGCAACTTAAAGCACTGGGTCTTCAGTGGTCCTGGAGAATTGGTTTGATGTGGCCACTTTCAAGTGTATTAATAATTCCACAAGCAGTGTCACTTTAATGCAGCATAAAGAATGTCCTTGGGCTCCAGACCTGAGTTATTTAGATCACTCAGGGATTTCATGCACTGTATTGTTTCTGGTAGAGTTAGATATTTCCTTCATGTATGGGGGTGAGGGATGGTGTCAGCCTCCATGAAGGGCTGTAGGTAAGCAATTAGCACTTGTGGTCCCTTAGCATGCTTTAGAGTTTTTTCTCTCCTTTTCTTTCTTTTTTGTTACTAAGGTATAGAAGGCTTAATGCTTAGTGCAAGCAGGTGCTCAAGCTTCTCCCCTCCCCACCTGTTCTAAAATGAAAAGGCTGAAAGTTGGCTGTGGGCATGGAAAAACGTTTCCCGGGGAAAAGAAATTGAAACTAGAGGCTTGAAATAAGTCCCCTGGTTTCAGTTTGTATCAGTGATTTGTCTGTCTTCTGTCTTTCCTCATGTGTTTCCAAGTCCAGTGTCAAAGTGATGAACTTTTCTCCAGGAATTCTCCCCAATGTCCTTTGTTTTTGGTGAATTCAATGGTTGCGTGTTGCTGAGTGTCTCCTGGTCTTGTTTCCTGGTCCTTGTAGCTAAGCATGTTGCTGAAGGATGAAATCCTGCTTATTTGTGATGTCACAATTTAAGTGTGCTTCCTGTCACTTATGTGTAGTTTAAAATGTTCCTTAATGTAGCATGAAATGATTGGTTAGTGTAGAAATGGTTGTGAAGTCATGTGAAGAAAATAAGTTTTGCATCCGACCAAGATAAATTCACTCTAGTGCTTTATGGCTTTTTATTCCTATGTGATAGTAATAAAGTCTCATGTAGGGATGGAAGCCATGAAATACATTGTGAAAAATCATCACCTAAGAAGGGGCCATCAAGATAGAAAACGTTAGCCTGTGTGGCTGTGGACATGATGCAGAAACGATTTAGTGTATAGTTTTGCTACATGCTTGGTGTTCCTTTGAGTTTCCTTATCCTCAGATTTTGACAGCTAAGGAATCTGGGTTATAAGAGTTGATTCATCTTCATAATCACCAATTTACTTACACATTTGGGTTTGTACATTTCTGTTTACCATACATTTTCCCTCCATTTTCTATTAATGAACATGCTCTAGGAAAACTATTGATAGCCCACCAGACTGGTAGGCAGCACTCAGTCCTCCTATGCCTTATTTCTCCTGGTGTGGTCTTTCTTCTGAAACAAAGAAGACATTGTCAAATCAGACTTACCCTCTTGGAAATGTGGTCCAGATTGCTCTACTCCCAAGCTCCAAAAAAAAAAAAAAAAGGTATATATGGGTTGGGGTAAATAAAGACCTCCTCAAGTCCATAAATCTACTATGAGATGGTTTCCACTTGTGGGTATACTGTTGTCTAGAAACATCTAATGTAAGAGGAAAGAAGGAAGGCTTTGGTGTGAAGTTGGGTTGTAATCTTTCTGCCACTCCAACTTTATGCCCTGGGCAAGTCATTTAAACTCTGAGTCTCTTTATCTTTAAAGTGGGGAGAAAAAAATACAGCTTATAAAATTGTTGTAAGGCATGTTTTTTTGTGTGTGTTTTTTTAATACCTCAAGAAATATTAGGTTCCTTCCCCTCTCTCTTCACTCTCCCATTTCTTTCTCTCTCCTTCTCATGTCCTCTCCTACCTTTAGATGTTAGTCTAACAATGAAGAATGTCTGCTTGCAAGTTCTTTCTATATGCGCCTTAGTTGAATTAATAGTTTAATTTTTTTAATTGAACTGTTTTCATGTTGATCATTGACTGGTGGGTACACTTACTGTTTTCTGTATATATATATTTTTTTCCTTGAACTATTTTAATATTGACTTTTGAACATACTCATTCACTGGTTTTATGTATTGTTTTTCAGTGAAAAATTCTAATAAAAATTATTTCTGTTATCTTTTGCCTCTCCATTTCTTCCACATAGTGGGATTTTAGCATGTCTCTTCAAAATGTCTGGGCCTCCCCAGGAAGATAAAGAATGCCTTTTCTTTAGAAACTGCCCATTGGCAGTGTTAAGAGAACTATATTCTCTCTGCCTTTATATAGCAATGTGCTTGTGGAAATTTGTCACTTTGGTTGTAACTTTGCTCCTAGTTTAATTTATAAATACACTAGAGGCCTGGGGCGTGAAATTCATGCACTGGGGAAGAGAGCATTCCCTCAGCCCAGACTGCGACCTCTCACACTCCAGTACCCCTCGCTCCTCACCACCTGCCTACCCACTGCTCCTTAGAGCTGTGCTCACCCTGTGGAGCATCCTGCATGAGCATCTGTCCCCTTGTGGTCAGTGTGCATAATAGCAACCAGTTGTTCTGGTTGTTTCACAATAATGGTCACTTAGGCTTTTATTATATAGATAGAGAGTATAATTTGACTTAATCACTGAAGTCCATAGAATTAATTGTGGATAAGGAAAAGGATTAGGAAGTAAAAATGCTGAAACTTTAAAAAAGTATGAGATCTACTGCTATAAAAGTAGAATACAGTGAGCACCAGTGGCACCATATTTGTATGTGATTATTTTATTATAACTGAGTTTGATTTTTAAGCCTCATGCTTACTTCTATAGAACAAGATCCTAATAATGCCCCTAATACTTAGTAGGTATTCAAATATTTGTGAATAAATGGAAGAGAAAGAGAGGGAGGGAAATAAAGAAGTACAAAGCTATATCATCATAAGAAATACTGATATATGGTTAGGGAAGTAGGGCAAACACACATACGTAGCTAATGGTCTACTGTAAGAGTGAGGAGAGTTTAATTTTGTACTAGGCCATTCAAGACAAGATGTAATAAGTGACATATACAGAATTACTATAGGAACTCAGGGATAGGGAAGGTCCTTAGAACCAGGGAATGATCCATGTCAAGATTTAGACCATCATCCAGATTTCCATAGGCAAGAGTCAAGGATTAAAAATTTACCCAGGAATTTATTAAAAGCTCAAGTGAGTGGGTGCTTCTCACAAATTTTTCTTACCAAGTGTTCTACCCTGGAGAATGTCTTTATTTCTAAATATCTTCACAAATATCATTAGAAGCAGATAGTAGATTTTAATGGACACACTTACTTAGATTAATTAATCACTGCTGGATCTCAGTGGGCTGCAATGACCTATGTGAGATAGGAGGAGTCTAAGCTGCCAGCATGCCTACAATTTCAAGGATGGCCATGTGTTTGCCCGCTTTGCCCACTCCTTTGTCCTTGCGTGGTGTTATTTAAACTCCAATAATTGCTGTAACTATGAGGCAGCTTGTGCAAAAGTGACTGTCTTCAAGAAGGACTCAACCTCTCCTAACAGCTCTGGATATTGAATGTGTCACCAGACACTGGCCTTTCCAGGGTTATTGGTTTGCCATGAATCTCATATTCCTAAGTAAAGTGCACACAAATGTGTTGGCCAGAAGAAGAGAATGTCGCAACAAACACTGATGTCACTCAGCAAGTGGATGAGTAAATCTCTATCTGGCCAGTGGTCATGGCACATGCTGGAAACACAGCATCAGAAAAGAGTAGGAGTGTTAATATTGGGCAAAACAGTCTTTCCCACTTTGTTTTCTTCCCATTTGGTTATCAGAGGCTTCACTTCATTAGAGGTCCAAGCACATTACCTTAATCAATGGAAGATAACATCACAGGAACTGGGTTAGGGCATTTGAAGCAAAGCCACAATTGCCTTACACATTCAAACCCCAAATAACACTATTGTGAGATCTAAAAAGGTAG